GACAGGGTGTGACTACTGTGTCTGTGGGACGTAAAAAAAAAAAAAATTCTCCCAGTTTGCATCTCCTAAAGCATTTTTCTCTGTGACTTCACATTTATTGATACGCCAGCCATTCTCATTCCCAGCTCATCAAATACCACAGCTTTGTCAGTGATTTTGGCATCACACACTGTAAAAAAAAGCTCAGTTGAACATCAACAACAAACACAGGAGAATATCTACTGGGTAATGTGAACAACACTGAGAAGGTGAGGATGTTTGATAAGTTAGGATGAGAATGCATTGGTTATGCAGCCAGCAGTCATTGTGTTAGATAAGATAGAACATTATTTATCCCAAGAGAAATAAATGTGCAGCAGTTTCAGTACTAAGTAGAAAATGTGCAAATGTAAGTGTGTGAGTATAAAACAGGTACAAAGGTGCAAATATTTGTCTGTGTGCACCTTTTACTATACATGGAAAATATGACTAATAGTATGTTTGCATGTGTTGTATGCGATGTGCTGGTATTTCTGTATTGTCCTTAGGTATCACATCAGTAATAATTACTATCATGCCCAGCTGACCCCATCAAAATGCACCAGTGCAAAACCAAACTAAATCTGCTTTCACCACTATGAGGACTGCAGTTTAATTGTGACATTATGGACCCCAAATAATTTCCCATTTGTTTAGAATTCTAGTAACACCATTATTACAGTTCAGTGACAGAGGGAGACATATCGATCTGATGAGACGCCCTCAATGCTGTTGTGTGTCCAGCCAGTCAGAAAACACTGCAGTCAGTCAATGTCTTCTGCCTGTCCCTGTGTGTCTGGCATGTGGAAAGACTCAAATTAATAATTCAAAGTCATCTCAATCTCATCAGGTCACAAGGTCATTTCCTTGTTTAGTGGGTGGAGGTTTAATGTGTGTGTGTTATTATCAACAAAGATGAGATTACAGTTTGGTGTGAAAGAGGAGACAAAGCTCAGACAAAGAGAGGCCTCTGCTTTCCCTCTCCACTTACTGTCTGTCCCTAGGGTCCAGTCAGTCTGTCTGGGAGACTGAATGTGAAGCTGTCTGCACAATAAAGGTATCAGTTTCAGTCAGAGGTGGTCACCAACATGTCTGCTTAATGAGTTTGACATTGGCATGGACATTCTGTTAGGAAGAAGTGTGAGAGGAAATGCTTACAGCAGAGAATTTAAAGATGACAGGTCCTTCCATGCTGTCAAACGGCCAAATGTTCTATCCACTACTATCCCTATGTTCCACGGGTCCTATGTTCCCCCCTATGTTCTGCAACCGGGGAAAATAGGACCCTTTTTCGTATAAAGGGTCCTATGTTCCCCGCTTTTCTGAAAAAGGGTCCAATGTTCCCCAATGTTCCCTGCTATTCTGAAAAAAGGTCCTATGTTCCCCAGGTGCAGAACGTAGGAGGAAACATAGGACCCTTTTTACGAAAAAGGGCTATATCTTATATGCAACATTAAATTATGCAGGAAAATGCTGAACTAAATCAGGGAAGCCCTGCATAGGCTATTTGTTGTGGAATTTGGCAATTATAGTGGAGAAAATGTGCGCTTTCTAAATATATGTGACTGTTGGGGAGCGTTGTTTGCGCCTTTGGGCATTGAATCACGTGATCACATGAGGTAAGTGCATTTTTCTTTCAGGGGGAACACTGGACCTGGGGAACATAGGACCCTTTTTTGGAAAAAGGGTCCTATGTTCCCCCCTATGTTCTGCACCCGGTCCCTATATTATGAGGGAACATAGGACCCAGGAGAACATAGGTACGGTCCCTTGTTATACTGTAGACCTATTGCAGTACAGAGCTGTTAGTCATCTGTGTGCTCTGAGGGACCAGTGGTTCCATGTATATCGGTCTGAATTGCCATATTTTTTTTCTACCATAATGGCCTCCAGACTTAATGAAATTATGGCTCACTTGTCATTGCTATGGGAATCAACCAGTGCAATAACACTTTACTTAGTATTGCACAGGCACAGGGGCTTAAAGTGAGGGGAGGTGATTAGCCAGCACCACAAGAGAAGTGGAACCCCTGGTACTGTAATTCACATGTGGTGTGTTGTCAGCTGGCTTACTAGAATATTGTTCTCAAGTTAAAGTACTGTTACTTTTAAGAACTTTTACACAAGTAAAAGTTCTTGTGTAAAAATTAACCTACGTAAATGTAAAAAAAAAAAAAAAAAAAAAAAAGTAGATAAGTTAAAATGTACTCTGAGTTAAAGTCACTCTGTTACATTTGCAAAAGAGAAAGGGGGAGGACATCATCAAATGTAAAATGGAACAACATAAGTTACATGATCCCTTATGTTCAAACCAATAGTATATTCCGTTTTGATAAACAACATTTTGCAGCCTGTATACAATTGTTTATCAATCAGTTTAGCCTCACTAGAATTAAGCAGTAAGGAGACAAAACACTGACATAAGTGACTGACAATATATTAAAAGTCTATGGACCCCCGGCTGGGTGCAAAAACAATATTGAACTCTACATGGCTGCAGGCTGGATTTGAGCCCACACCTGCTATTGCATGGACACTGTCTTTGTACATGGGCGGCTTTTGCTCAATGGTGGAGAGGGCTGTAATATCGGAGGATCAGAGAATAAGCGATTCGATTCCTGGCTCCTTCAGCCTACAGGTGTGTTCACACCGGACTTTTTATTTTTTTCGCTATCACTCGGTTCGCCCCTTTGATATCACTTCATCGCTCAGTTACAATTGCTTGACTGTCATGACATGTCAGCTTCATTAAAAGTATAACTGCAAATTAAAAGCAACAATAGATGTAAAAACACACAGACACAATGCATCTGTCTGAGCATTTATACCTCCGACTGCGGCAGCGGCTGAAAATTATACATACACACAGGTAGGCTATACATATTGCAAAACTCTGTAAAAGTACACCAAAGCATACATTTTCGTTTCCAAATATTTATTGTGTTCAATGTGTGTGTGTGTGTGTGTGTGTGTGTGTCTGTGTGTTAGTATGTCAGAGAGGAGGAGAATCATTAAAAAAAAAGTTTCCACTAATTATTTCGGTGTTTATTTCTTTTATTCTTAAGGGTTTTTTTTTGTATTAAAATGCGTAATATAGCCAACAATATTATAGACCAAAAGTTAATCTAATTCATTATTGTAGAATGTATTTAGCAAATCACCACTTTCAACTGGAGACACGGCGCAGCAGCAGCGCAGCAGCAGCAAAAGAAAAACAGGCATTATAAAAAGCCGACAAATAGTGTTAATTAATTGACATGAGACATTGGAGAGGTTGTCTCCTATTCTATAGTCTGTAACATTTTTTTTTTATTTATCATAATTTCTCGGAAATTACTCAAAAATGCATTCATTGTGCGCTTCTGAGCACACGGGCAGCATAAACAATGAAGTTACATATGATGGTCTGGCAGATCGTTGCGGCGCTTGGAGGCAGTTGACAGTGACAGTTTTGTCAGCAGCCATTTTTCTTCCTACCAATAACCTATGGTTGAGGCAGCTCCAGCTCCAACTCCGCTCACATGCTCTGACTCAGGCATCAGAGCCTCTGCGCTACAGCGATAGATGCATAGGCGCTGTCCATGGTGCTTTACACGAGGACCGCCAGGATTAGGGCGCCCCTCCAAGCACCGCAGTCCCGCCGGCTGGCGCGGTCACTGTTGAGATTACATTTGTTTTTTACTATTAACAAAATGTTTTTTTGTAACTCATCACTTCAGAAAACATACAAGACACATTTTTAGGAAACGTCATAGGAAGAGAAACTTGTAGGTTTTATCTAAACAGAGTTATTTGCATTATAAAAACCCAAACGGTCTGTTAGACCGTCGTGGCGGTTCTAGGACAAGTGCACTTACATTGATCACTTCCATAAAATAAAAACAAGAAATTGGAGAAGATTGAAAAAATTGTTAAAATTAAATTAGGGAACTGATCACAGATGCATTGTCTCTGTGTGTTTTTACATCTATTGTTGCTTTTAAAAGCTAACATGTCATGCCAGTCAAGCACCCCCCCCTTCCCCATCCCGAATTACACCCATTCTCATCTTGTCACCCTAGTCCTATTATTCGTTTACCTGAAGTGTCTTGAAATGAATTTCACCACTGATTGTTTTCTTGATAGACTCTGATTTTTTATTTGGCTAATTTTTGTCTGACGTGGCCAAACAATTGAGAGCAGTGACGCGTGGTCTGTGTGAATGAACTTATATAAACCTGAGTTGATTAATGAAGTAACTTGAAGTCAGAAAGAAGGACAACTGTTTCTAAACCTTTTGATGATGTTTTTGGTTGTTTATTTGTGAATGAAATGGCAAGTTCTGACGAGTCAGAAACGACTCTTTAAAGACATGGATGAGGCTGCAGCGCGTCTGCGCTCATCTAGAGCAGTGGTTCCCAACCTTTTTTGTCTTGTGTACCCCTTGAGCCTTTTTGTCATACCATGAGTACCCCCTCACTCATACGTGTTCATGATTCTCCAAAAGTAGAACATAACACAACTGAATATTCAACGCAAGTCATTTTATTTCATCTTCTTAAATTGAACAATTAATATTCAGGCATTATCTTCTTATTTAACTCAAATTAAACATAAAATTATGTTGCCTTCAAGGCAATAAAAATGATAAATATAAGAAATAATATTATAGTAAACATTTGTATTATTAATACTGTATTATTAATACTAATATATTATGATTATATTGTTATTAAAGAAAAATAATTAAGTTGAAATTAGAAAAAAACAAGAATAAATAAAAATAATAAGTAATATTAATAAATAAATAAATACAAAGCAAATAATTAACCTGCCTTTGTTATATATAACTTTTATGACATTTACCACAAAAGGAGCTTCTTTGAATATGTCCCCTTTAAACAGGCATTTAAACTTTAAAAATCAGGGACAAAACACTTAACAAGAATACTATTTAAACTCACTGTATCAGTTGTACTTTCTTTTCTTCAGTCATCTGAGATTTAATGAGACACTTGAGCTTGCTTGTCTTTCATAAGCTTTGATAGTTCTGGGGGCAGTGTGGAAACAGCTGTTACCAGGCTGTTCTTCACATCCAGTCTGCTCCTCTGCTTGGTTTTAATGTGTGTCAAAGCTGAGAAGGTCACTTCACACATATAAGTAGAACCAAAAGGCAAAAGCTCAATCAGTGCATGTTTTCCCAGCTCAGGATACTCCTTCTCCACATCACACCAGAACTCAGTCAATGTCTTCTCAGCATATGTCATTTTCAGTCCCTGATCAGATGATAAATCCATCAGATGCTCCTGCAGCCTTGCAGGAAGGTTGTTGCAGCTCTCACTCACAATAAATGGGTTCCTCACCCAATCCAGTCTTTCTGACTTTTCTTCAATGTCCTGAAAATACTGGCTGAAATCCGTGCAGAGTTTGGACAGATGTGCTTGCACCAGTTTGACCACTGGACCCCTGGCAACATCAGTGGTGGCAAGATGGGAATCAAGTAGTGGGAAACAGCTGACATCTCCCTCATCACATTTCTTCTCCCATAGTTTGAGCTTTTTTGTGAATCCTATAACTTTGTCATACATTTTCAGGATGTGTGGCTCCTTTCCCTGAAGCGACAGGTTGAGCTCGTTAAGTTTGGTAAACACATCAGCGAGATACGCCAGGCGCGCCACCCACTCAGCGTCCTCAAACACCACAGCAAGAGGATGCAGATGCTGCGTCAGAAACACCGAAACTTCACTGCGCAGTTCATAAAGTCTGAGTAGTGTTTTCCCACGGGACAGCCAGCGGATGTCCGTGTGAAGCAATAGCTGTTCGTGCTCTGTGCCGCTCTCATGACAAAGAGTTTCAAACAGTCTGTGATTCAGTGGCCGGGATTGGATGAAATTTATCACCTTCACAGCATCATCCATAACAGCACTTAATTCAGGGCTCATTCGCTTACTTGCCAGTGCTTCGCGGTGAATGATACAATGCATCCATTTAATGTCGGGATTTACCTTTTTTACGTGTCCAAAAAGTCCCTTCACACTTCCCGTCATTGCAGCTGCGCCATCAGTACAGATGTGACTGCAGGTTTTCCACTGTAGATCGTGTTCTTTGAAAAAGCTGTCTATAATCTGGAACATTTCTTCCCCGGTTGTCTTTCCTGGCAGCTTTTTGCAAAATAAAATATGCTCGTTTATGTCCGACACATCTTTGTAACGAACGAAGGCCAGGAGCTGAGCATCACCACTCACATCTGTCATTTCATCCAGCTGCAAAGCGAACTGACCGGCTCGTTTCATTTTTTTCACCACTTGTCCAATAATATTAACCGACATATCATCAATCCGACGGGACACGGTGTTGTTCGACAGGGGGACTTTCTTGAGTGTGTCGGCTGCTTTCTTGTCAATCATAATTTCAGCCATAACCGCTGCTGCAGGGAGAATGAGCTCTTCAACAATTGAGTGAGGCTTTTTTGATTTCGCCACGAGCAGAGATACGGCGTAAGATGCCTCCAGTGCTTTGCTTGACACACTCGTGGCTTTCATCATTACAGTCTGTCTTGACTTAAATTCCGACAGCTTACGTTTGTAAAATTCCTCAGTTTTACCGACACTTTCCGAGTATTTGGTGCTCTGGTGTCGCTGTAAATGGGCTGGGTTCATGGAGTTATTTGCCAGGACTTCACCGCAAAAGAAGCACTGAGGCTGCTGTGGGTCCGCAGACGTAGAAGTGAATCCATATAAAATATAGTTTTCACTATACTGCCTTGGTTTAGGTTTGGCATCTTTCTTGCGTTTGTCGGCGGGCTCCTTTCCCCCTCCTGGATCCACAGCAACTGGACTTTTCAGCCATTTATCCATATTTACCTGCAGGTAAACAGGTTCCTGCAGATTTTGGTATGGCTGTGCCACAGGTTATTGTCTCCCCAGGGACACAAGTCATAGCACACACGTACCATTTTATTGACGGACTTATGAAATGACGGAGAATATTTTTTATTATCTTAGAAATAAATTCTTAATTTTTCCATGTAACCCCTGCAATGTGCTCACGTACCCCTAGAGGTACGCGTACCCCTGGTTGGGAAACACTGATCTAGAGCATCATACCTTGATGAAGTGAAAGGAATAAAGATAAAGATAAAATGATAACCCTATGCCAACTGAAGAATTAAATTTGTTTAGTTGGGTTTTTTAGCTCTTTTCTCTGGAGCGGAAACTGACGCAAATGAGGTCATTAATCATGAAATAGCATACAATTAAAAATCCTTACCTTTTTATTCATTTTAGCTCTCTCTAAACGGGTGCTGCAGCTGCAGAAAGAACAGCTCTGGTCGCTGGGTCCTCATTTGACGCTCCAAAATCAAGACGAGGTCGAAGATGAGGCGTCAAGGCAATTAGACGCGTGTCGTGTTTGGCCATTTAAAACAATGAGTGTACTTCAAAACATGCGTGTCAGACGCTTTCAGTGCATTTGGGCCTTTAGGAGTGGGGGGGGGGATCTCTAGGCACCTCACGATTCGATTCAATTCCGATTCTGAGAGCAACGATTTCGATTCTAAAACAATTCTCAATTCTGAAACGAGCCAATAATTTAGCTAATAATTTACACTAGATATTGAAAAACATTATTGTAAAAAAGCTGGGAATACATATCCAGTGCATACAAACTTTATTACTTACTGTGGTTGAGATGACTACACTCCACCCGTTTCCTCCAGTCCATCCTCCTCATCCACACATCTCAAGGGGACTCTCCTGTCCCTCGTCGACCCCCTCGACATTTCTCCTCCACTATTTACAAAACTATAACTGATTATAACTACCTATGAACTATAAAAACACGTACTATTGCAAAAAAAGACAAACAATGGCAAAACTACGAACTATAGTGAAAACAAAAACAAACTCAAATGCTCTCAAAAAACCACAAATACTATTATTTACAACACTAAACATTATTTACAAAGAAAACACCACCAAAACCTCTAAATCAGTCCAACTTGCATTCTCCTCGTCAGCTGTCACTCTCCTCCTGCTGTGCTCACTTCCCTACCCCCCTCCACAGGTAATGAAGCTCCGCTTCTCAGCTTTCAGAATCCGTTGGAATTCAATAGCGTGAATGGTCGAGGAGTTACGGTAATTTGAAAAATAAAAATAAAATTAAAATCGATTATGAGTTTTCCAAATCGATGCTCGCATCGTTCAAGACAGAATCTCGATGCATTTAAAAATAGATTATTTCCCCCACCCCTACCCATAGTGCATTAAGAGTGTATGTCCAGATAATTACACATGTGATATATGAAAGTGTTTTGAAGTAAAGAACATGTTAGATTAGCTCATTTTACTGATTATTTCCCAGCACTACAGGTCTAGTCAGACAGTATTGCACTGTATTACAGGTGAGCTGCAATGTACTGTTTGTCCCATACTTACAAATAAAAAGTTGTAAAGTATACACACTTGTTATCAATGTTATTTAAGTGTCTGACTTTATGTATGCAACAACTAAGCAGGACATTAAATGTTGTCTCTGAATAGAGGTCTGGTCAAATAGGTTGAAGACAGACCACTTTTATCACTCATTTTTAACGCTGCATTAGTGATGGAGAACATGGCTGTTTTCCTCTAAATGGAGCATACTGAGAGCAGAAGGAACATTTCCCAGTCTCCCCTGAGTCAGCACTTCTTTTATGTTTGTGTTTATGGGCTGAATTTAAAGTACTATCGGCAACTGCAAAGACAGCCATTTTTTTTTCAGTCATACTAGGCCAGATTAGTGGGCTGATTTAGTTTACGTTGTAGAAATGATGTATGAATCTTGAATTTTCTAATCTTGATGAATTGTTACTTACATATTTCTTTTCTTTTCTTTTCATTTTAAAGCCAAATGATAAAAGGTAAAATATTGCTGCACACATTAACTGGCCTAATTTTACTTATCTACAATGAACAAAATAGGATCCACATACTTTTTTTTTTCAGGAACACCAGCAGTTCAGCCTGAAATGACTTCAAAGGAACATTTAATGAGTGCATAAGTTCTATTTATGCCATTAGCAATATTTCAAACCACTTGGTTGCCGTATCTGAAAAGACTGGGAACATGCTGGAGGATTGGTGGGTTGATTAACAGCAGATTTGTCCATCCTGATGACAGAAGGAAATCCTTAACACGAGCTTGTAGGCTGACGATCTGCGTCATCATACACAAACTCCTAACCTTGTAGACTGCCCCACCAACTGATCTGTCCTGTTCTGATCATATCCAGCAGCTTTTATATTTACCCACTTATGTGTCTTTCCAAAAAAGAATTACGCTTACATTAATTGAAACCCTAAATAAAACCCCAAGGGTTACCTGTGCCCCTGAGTTAACCAAAACAATAGATCTTATCCTGTGTCTGCCCTCCAGGTTGAGATGGCCACTGCATATTAGAAGAAAACAGTTAAGGATGACCAACTGGGCAAATCTTCAAGGGCATTCTGAAGGTAGGCATCCTACAACTAAATTACTTCTCTTATGTTGGGAGAGAGAAAGGGCCAAACAGGACTGTTTTGCATGGAGCAGTGAGAAGTGGCTACAGACATGAAATTATGTGAGAAAAGATACTTCTCTACAGCACCATTACCAGTAACACCATCCTGGCTGTTTCCATCAGTGATAGTTGATCTCTGTATGTTTGAAAAATAGCACATACACAAAGATTTTGGAAACATAGCAATCTTGGTAGAAGACAGGCTAAAAAAATTCTATCAAGCACATGTTCAAGTTTATATTGATGAATCCAAGGATAGTAACACAGGCAGAACAGGTTTTGCTGTAAGTATCACAGTCCTGCAAATTTCTGTTAAAAGACGGACATCAGACCATTTGTCAGTGTATATAGTGGAGATGGTGGCAATCGCAACAGCACCATAGATGATAGAGGAATTACAAATTTAAAAGGTCATTCTTTGTACAGACTCATGTTCAGCAATAATGACATTACAATCATTTGCATCTAATAATAGGCAAGATATAGTTGATGAAATATATGAATAATTTTACATATTTAAAAATATGAATATTGATATAACATTTATGTGGATTCTAGCTCACAGAGGAGTTAAGAGCAATGACACTGCTGATTCATTGGCAAAACAGGCTCTGAAACAAGGAGAGATTATGGACATATCACTTTCTAAAGCAGAAGCAAAAGGAATTAAAGCTGCAAGCAGCACTGGTTGAACGAAGATTCAATATCAGAGTTTTTAGCCTGGATCAAGATGTTGAAAAGGGAAATCCGCCTAAGTTCATGTTGTCTTTCCTGAAAGAGGTATTCAAAGAGAAAAAGCTTCCCTGCTTACCTGAAGTAGAAATAGCGCACAGAGTGAGACCAGCAACGAAATCGGGCTGCAGGCCCATGATTGTCAGACTACTGCGGTATCAGGTCAAGGAGGCAATTTTGGACATTCCAAAGAAAGAAAAAGTGCTGAAATACAAGGACATGAAAATAAAAATATTCCCTGATTTGACAGCGGAAATGGCGAAGAGAAGAGCACAGTTCAAAGACATGAGAATTAAATTATGTCAAGCAGGGATTAAAAACAGCTTGATTCATCCTGCAATTCTCTTATAACTTTTGATGGGGTGACAAAACATTTCCAGGACAATGAAACAGCAGAAAGGTACTTCAATCAAAACATTCAACCATCACATCCAGCTGGTCGGGATGAGAAGGACGAGGGAGAGGTGAGCAGGTGAGAATTAGCTATAGAGCTGACTCATTATGAACAATAAATATGCTCGTGCACACAAACATTGGACATCTGTATATAAACTTACCTATGGGCAAAGAATGGGAATGAACTCTCAACACTTCTTAGGCTGACATGCACATGACATGTGCGAAGTGAAACGTCGAAAACTTAAGAACTGATGGTATAAACGAGATAAAATACCTTGTATAAATATAATTTCATTTGTTCATTAAAGAGACAGTCAACACTGAGTAATTTAAATTCTAATGATGGTAAAATAATTAAATAATGAACATGAGTCTCCTATGAGGCTCCTAACTTTAGTAACTTTAATTTATCAAAGGTTAGCCTTTATGATTTCTAAAATGTGATGTGATTTCTGTCATTAAGGATAAAACAACCTATGAGATTTAATTTATAATTGATGGAGGCTACAATTAATTTATAAGAGTTTTAGTGTAAAGTAAGATGTAGCCTATTTCAGTTTATTGAAACTCTTATTTCTCATTCTTGTCTTTTATGACTTCTAAATATTAGTTTAATGTATTATAAAATTAGTAGAAATAAAGTATAGTGGCCTAAAGTGCTTGTGTTAAGTTTTGTACGTGGAGGTCCAGAAATTGAGTTTGGCTTTCTTAAATCGGTGTAACACTTTTGTGACAATACAAAATTATGTGTGAATTGATGTTTGTGTGTGTTGAGATGTGTTTAAATGTAGTTGTTAAATGTAATTTGTTTTACTCCGAAATCACATCTGTCTGATGGAAACATTTGAATAATTTAGATTTATTAAATATCATTTAAATTGCTTAAAAAGGGTCTTCGGATAGCCCATATCAACATACATAGTATCAGGAATAAACTGACAGATATTTCGCATATTTTATCTTCAAATAATCTACATATACTAGCGGTATCCGAGACTCATCTAGATTCTACATTTGAGGATGCATCTTTGATGATACACGGATATAATATCTTTAGAAATAACAGAAATGCTTATGGAGGGGGTGTGGCATATTACATTCAAAGTCATTTACCTGTCAAAGTAAGACAAGATTTAGTGGTACCGGATATTGAAGTTCTCTGGCTGCAAATTTGTTTAAAACAACTAA